CGGACGCCCCCTCCCCGGGCCTGGGGGCGGGGCGGGATGTGCCAAGCACCCGTCCCGCGCCTCCAAGGGGGGAGCGGTTGTAATTAACCAACCGACTTTGACCCTTGATCCGCGGGCTCCCTGGCACCGCCCCAGGCCTTGGAGAAAAGTGGAGAAATGAGGGCGGTGGGGGCCCTGTGCGGGCTCTTGCCTCAGTTTCTCTCCCGAATACGTTTCTGGAAAAGGCGCTGTGGTTACCTGGGTGGCCGACCCACCGGGGTCCAAAGGCCCGCGGCGCTGGCGGGATGTGTCCTAGGGCGGCCTTCTCTCCAGCCCGAGACCCCGTGCGTGGCCTCCTTACACCGGGGGCTCCGGTGGGAAACGGACACAGAGGGGAGTGAGCGGCGCCCGGGCTGTTTACAGTTTCTTGCGGGGGTTCCAGGGCCAGCAGGGCCGTGCGGGTGAGGGCCGAGCTTCCTCCCTCCCGCCTCCTCCCTCACCTGTGTTTGACTTGCTGCTTAGCTGCTCCCTGGGATCTGATAACTGAACTTGGACTGTGGTAAAGGTGAGCTGAGAGCCTTGCAGGAGACTCGCTGTGCTGTTATTTTTAGTTTTATTTCACATCCCAATCAGGAACAGATCATGTGTTGACTTTTACGAAGGACAAAGAAATTCCGTTTGCTGAAATCATTGACTTCCTTTGGCCTGGTGATTTTCCCCCCGCAGTTCCGGCGGCCACGGTGGGTGGCTGAGGGGACCTCCAGCCCAGGGCTGCCCCATCGGGTGCAGAGGAGGGCTTCTGGGCGTGTCACCTGCCGCTGTGATCCAGGCGAGGGAGGCCGGCCGGCCACTCGCTCTGCAGGATGGAGGTGCGTGTGAGATGTGTCCTCACCGCTCTGGCCAGGGAGAAGCCTGTGGAGTCAAGTAAAGGGTAGAAGTTAAAGAACTTAATTTTGTCTCAAAAGCCCTGTGGCGCACTGGAGAGTTTGCCCAGTTTTTGGAAATGAGAAATGGAATGTTCTCGGGCCACGCTCGGGTGCCTCAGATGGCTGGAGCGGGGGGCTGGCCTGTCCCCTGGCTGGGCCATCCATCACCAGTCGACTGTGACCCCAGGAGCCAGCTGGGCACGTTTCCGTCACCCCACCTCACAGACCGGGCACGTTGTGACCAGTTAAGCATTGACCCCATCCATCCCCCTGAGAGGCACTGCAGGGGCTGGGAACAGGGAAGTGTCTGAGGTCTGACCTTCCCGCCAGGGCCCTCTGAGACCCTTAAACACCAGAGCGTGCGGAAGGAGTTGTACTTTTACTGACTGAAGGCCCTGGGCCCAGTCCCACCAGCACTCCAGGCTCTCGGCCTGAGGCACAGTTCAAGAGGTTCCCCCAACACACATCCCCAGGGCTGAACCTTTCCCTTGGGCCTCATTCTCCTCCCAAAGCCAGGGACAAGCCCAGGAGTGGCTGGGGGCCACCGGGGTGGGAGATGGCTGCACACGCTGGGAGGTGAAAGGGTTTGCAGTTAAGGTTAAGATGCTGCCCGCGGTGCCCTTCACTCCCCTCTCCCCCTGGTCTCCCCTGGCGTTCCTCCTTTGTTATGTCAATGTTGACTGCAGTGCTGGGAGTAATGCTGGTTTCTTGAGGATGCCCCCACCCATTGTACCCAGGGGCTGAATTCCATTTCATGGTCTGAAGGGGAAGCTCCCACCGAGCAAGTCCTCCAAGGCCTTAAGTGCAACCTCAATCTCTCAATCTCGCGAGGCCAGAAAGGCTCTTGAAGGTAGATGGACCCGGGAAGCTGGAATGACATGGGCATCCCAGGGCCTCTTGCAGGCCCCAACCACCCCCTCCTCTGCTTCGAGCCCCTGCTGCCTGTTCTGCCAGTTCCTCAGCACATGCCCACCCCGAGGAGGCAGACAGGCTACTGTGCAGGAGACTGGTGTTTCCTCACCTGGCCCTGAAGGCCACGAAAGTCAGCTTTGGGTCCCAGAATACACGTGTGGGGGTGGGGAGAGATTAGGCCTCTGGTGATCATGATGATGATGATGATGTTTTTTAAATGTATTGATTTGAGTGGGGGAGGGGGGAGAGGTGTTGTTCCACTTACTTATGCATTCATCGGTTGATTCTTGTATGTGCCCTGAATGGGGATCGAACCTACAACCTTGACATATCGGGACAATGCTCTAACCAACTGAGCTACCCTCGTGGGGCTGGTGATGATTACTCTTGTGATTCCTGGGAAGTGTTGGCAGTGAACGACTTGTCACCAAGCTCTCCAGGGAGCAAGGCTGGGAGAGTAGACAGCCAGACAGTGGATGGGGACAGAAGAGCAACTTGGGCCTGGGCAGTGGGCTAGATGGGACTCCTACCTGTCCCGTGGGGTGCCGTCACCCAGGCTGCCAAGCTGTTTGTCCCTAGCTTGGATGACCCAAGGCAGAATCCTGCCAGACCATTTGTCCCAGCAGGAGAGCTGTGAGGGCAAGTCCTCTGGGCACAGGGAGGACAGGAGCGAAGCATGGGTTTTGTTGATATCAGGGTTTCTTTTTAACGCTGTTCACTTCCAACAAGTCTTGTGCGGATCCTGCAGGATGCCCAGCCCTGTGCTGAACGGGAGGGTAGGAAGGATGCAAACGGGGCATAGTTCCTGGTCAGGGCTGTCCACCTAGTGCAGGGGTCCTCAAACTTTTTAAACAGGGGGCCAGTTCACTGTCCCTCAGACCGTTGGAGGGCCGGACTATCGTTTAAAAAAAAAACTATGAACAAATTCCTATGCACACTGCACATATCTTATTTTGAAGTAAAAAAACAAAACAGGAACAAATACAATATTTGTATTTGCATGTGGCCCGCGGGCCGTAGTTTGAGGACCCCTGACCTAGTGTGAGGGCTGAGTGCACAGTTTCAACTTCATTACAGATGCAGTATGAAAAGTGGGTGGGGAGCGGGGAAAAGACACTGCCTGAGAGAAAAACTTGGCGTTCATAGAATGGAAGCACCAGGCTGAGGGACAGACCCATTGTGTTTCCGGGGCTTCGGCCTCTGCCAGTTGGCTGGCACTGGCTTTCTTTCGGGCATTGCTCGCTGACCTGCTGGGGCTGAAGGAGACAGGCACAAGACCCCTGCCCTTGCTGATAAGGGTGTCAGGCGGCCTAACACCAACCTGGGATGTACTGACGCAGTGGGTTCCCCCCACCCCATTCAGAGCTGAGTGGACCCCCACCCCCCAGGTCAGCACCAGCACCAGCCCCAGGGTCAGAGGCTGTGCATCCTCGCATCTGCTTCACTTGCTCTCTCTCCCCAGAGAGCTGAGACCAGACCTCGTGCCCAGCCCTGGCCTGAGGCCTTAGACGGAGCAGGACCTGGCACTCTGTCCAGTATTTGGCCCAATAGCTTTAAAAAAAAGATTTAATCTTCACCTGAGGATATGCTTATTGATTTTAGAGACAGGGGATGAAGGGGAGGGAGAGAAACATTGATGTGAGAGGGCACATTGATTGGTTGCCCTCCATATGTGCCCCAACCGGGGATCGAACCCACAACCTTCTGGTATATGGGACGATACTTCAACCAACTGAGCCACACCGGCCAGGAAGGGCCCAGTAGTTTTCAATCCAAGAAAGACAGGACTTGCTGAGGGTGAGGGAGGGGAAGGCCCTCAGATGGGCGGCTGCTCTGGGCCTCTGCCCTCAATGTCATGCAGGTGGAGGCAAGTTGGGCAACAGAAGGGGAACCCGCAAACCCCCTGAGGGAGTGAGGAGAGGGCCAGGCTGGTTTGGCCTTGGCCTTGCCACACGCCACAGCTGTGGGCGGGCAATGAATAGCCACAGCGGCCACCGCCTTGCCGGAAACATCTAATTAGGGGACAGAGGTGCACAAGGCGGGCCCAACCAGTTCTGCTTCCTGCCTCCTGCCACTCGGTGACACTCAGTGACACCCAGTGACAGGAGCGGCACGCCGATGAGCACTCCCTGTGCGTGCGGCGGCATCAGGGACACGCTCGTGGGGGTGGCAGGAAGACAGGTTTGGCAGGTGGCTAGGATGAGGCAAACATCCCCACCCTGGCGGCCATGAGGCTGCCCCTCGGTGGAGCTAGAGGAGCAAGGAGGCCAGGCCGGGTGGGCGCACACGTCCCCAGTTCCTTAGCACCAGCATTCCAAGGTTTCTGTGTAATGGGAGAGGCAGGCACAGGGTCCCTCCCAAACTCGCGTGGATCCTTGGAACACTACCCATGAGCCCATCTATTAGAGAGGGAACTGCGAGCCACACCAGCTGCCTCACCTGCTGTCCCTCCTCCCTCTGCGGCTCCATGTGCACGTGCGGCCCGGCTCCCACTCTCCGGAGCCTCACTCACGCTCTCCGACACCGAAAGACAGGGGAGGGTAGAGGTTCCATTACCTGGACTGAGAAATGGAAATAGTCATTCAGCTTTGAATTCTTGGCCAAGATCTGTAATAGCTGCTAAACCGCCAACACTCAGACACGCCCCTGTGCCCCCCAGCCCCCCCAGCCCGTGTATATAGACAGCTGCCCTTGCAGCAAGACAGGAGTCGTGTCCCCCCACCCCAACCCCCCGGCTTGGGCTTGCTGACCAGCCTTCCAGGGCCTGGGGAGGTGCCACGCCATCTCAGGGGCCAGGCCAGGGCCAGGCACTGGTGAATCAACTCCCGGAATGAGGTGGCTCATTAAAGTCCCCCGGACAGACGGACGCCAGTGCCAGCAGAACGGGTTTGGGCGGCAGGCCGCGCATTCTTCCTCTGTCAGACCTTTGTTGTGTTTTGAGGGGGCGAGAGCCGGGGCCTCTCCCGAAACTTCGGTGTCTCACATTCACCCTCCATCCGTACGTTCCTCTGCCTCCCGCCACGTCGTCTGTCCACCTGGGCCTCGTCGCAGTGGCCTGGAGAGGAGCTGAGGGCAGCAGCCCTCCTGCCTGGGTCCCTCTGTCTCACCAGCTGTGAGCAGTGGGCCTTGTCATGGGCCTGACACCCCAACTCAACCTTCTAAGTCCCTCTCCCTGAGGCTCACTCGTCCTTTCTTTCTTGGCCCCTCTGGGTTTTTCCTTCTGTGGCTTGGAAAATGCTCCTCACGTGTGGGTTTTAAGTACAGAGCTTTGCCTTTTTGGAAGAAAATTCTTGACTAAACTGAAACATTAGATTGCTTGCCCCAGCTGCCAGCTCTGAGGCCTGTCTCCATGTCACTCAGAACTCTTCCTCCTCCCTAGTGGGGACCAGGGCCAAGCCTCCCCGGCCCCGTTCAGTGTGAGGTGTCTGTCGTGGGGAGCGGTCATGTCAAAGGCTGCCAGGTATCGGTGCCGAGGAGGGCGGTGGTGCCCAGGAGGGCGGGAGCCCAGCCTTACTGTACAGCGAGCGGTCCCTGCTGTGGGGGAGGGTTGCGTAACAGCTGGGCAGGTGCCCAGGAGACTGTTACGCAGCATCCACCTGCTGCTCCCTGACCTCCTCCCTGCTCCACCCCACCTGGCCTGTTTGCCTGCCAAGCTGGGCCAGTGGGAGGGGGGTCCCTGGAGCCCTACTGGGCTACAACGGCAGGGACTGGCCAATCGGAGGAGGAAGGGGCTAGGAGCACCCAATGCCCTAAAGCCTGCAGCTAAATTGCCTAGAGGAGAGGCCCAGGGTGGCTCAGGCCACCAGGAACTCTTCCGGGGCAGGGATGAGTCCCTGGGCGCAGGCCTCCAGGAGCATGGATGAGGCCTGGAATCCAGAGGGACTGGCCCAGGTGGGGCAGGCAGACTGCTCCGGAGGGATAATTGGCAGGGCAGTTTGGTCCTCCCAGTTCCGCTAAGACACAAATTACTCAGCGGGCAGGCCTGTGGGTCGAGGCGCTTGGCTGGCGTCACCTGTAATTACCTTAATGGGGCAGGAGGGAGGTGCAGTGTGTAGTGGGCTGGGGTAGCCCTGCTCTGCCACATGCCTGCCAGGGGTGGGATGGAGGCTCCAGGTTCCAGCCAGCTAATTGCCAGGGAGCCTTCCTGAAATCCCACTGAACCCCCTTTTCTCCACCAAGCCCCTCACCTGGCCATTCTTCTCTCTGCAGTCAGCCTGGGCTTCTATCCGCCACAGCCCTGCCCGGAGCCAGAGCCATCGGTGGCTGAGCCCCCTTCTTGCCCCCTGGCTTTGGACATGAGCCTTCGAGACTCCGGCTACAGCGTGGCCTCTGGACCCTGCGTGGTGGCCCAGCTGCCCTCCGAAGACATGGGCCGCCTGGCGGACCCCCAGAGCAGAGACCACGGCTTCTTGCGCACCAAGATGAAGGTACTGACCTCGCACTGTCTCTGAGGAACAGCCCAGGAGATGTGGCACAAATGAGACCTAAGTGGAGACCAGCCTGAGGTCTGGGTCCAGGTTTCTGCAGAGGTGACCCTGCGCTGGGCATAGACAGGGGCTGGAAGAGATGAAAAGTGGCTCTAAAGTGAGGCTGTCATGTGGGGAAGCAGCAGAGGGGTTCAAAAGACATTTAAGCCTTGGGAGTCCATCTGGGGGTTTAGTTTTATTTCTGGCCTCAAGGGGAGCCTGTTCCCACCGAAGTCCTAGGAAAATCAGGGAGACGTGAGGCCGGCTCAGCACCTCCTGGGGCCCCATCCGGGCAGCGATGCGGGTGAGGACTGGAGTCGGCCTGGTGGTTGGCTATCTGCTGAGGCACGTGCTCGACAGTCTCTGCCTCACCCAGTGCCACTCGAGGCCTTGCGCCTAGGGCAGGCCTGGTGGGCGCCCCGCTGTGCTCAGCAGTGGGAGCGGTACATGCCCCAGGCTTTCGAGGAGCGCACCTGTGCAGGCTGCCCTGGCCGGGCCTTCCTTCCTGAAAGCTCCCGGCCGGGAGGCGCCCGCAGCGAGGATCCAGTGGAAGCGTTCCTGAAGCACCGTCCATGTGCCAAAAGGCTGGAGAAGCTGGCAGTGGGTCCTGTTCTTTCCTCTGTTTCCTGCGGAGGCCAAGTGTGTGTTGTAATGAAAGGGGAACACCCAGATGCGCTGGGCTGGCCAGAGAGCCAGCACCGTCGGGCCCCTGATCCCCACACCCCCTTCCTCCCAGCCCGGGGCCCCAGTAGGGAGGGAGGGATGCAGAGAAAGCAGAGGGCACCGTAGAGCGGGTGCTGGAATGAGTCCTGGTCTTTTTTTTTTAAATATATTTTTATTGATTCAGAGAGGAAGGGACAGGGAGAGAAACACAGAAACATCAAAGATGAGAGAGAATCATTGATTGGCTGCCTGGGAATCGAGCCTGCAACGGGCATGTGCCCTTGACTGGAAGTGAACCCTGGACCCTTCAGTCTGCAGGCCGATGCTCTATCCACTGAGCCAAACTGGCTAGGGCGAACCCTGGTCTTGACTAGCTGGCAATAAGGAGCATTTACCCGGGGCCAGGGTACAGAGGACGAGGTGCGGTGTGACAGGTGCACCCAGTGCACAGGGAGCTCAGGAGGAGTTGCCAGCGATGGCCACCCACCAAGTACAGGCAGCCTCAGAACATTAACAGAGGTGGGGCGTTGAGGCCACATCTCCACTTAGGAATAGATTTGAGATTTTCCACAACTACAAAAAAACAAAACGAAAAATGCTTATAAGCAAGCAAGTCATCAGGTAGCAAAGGGACTCAAACCATATCATGTCAGGCCTGGCTCAAGTAAAACCAGGGGCAGGGCTCACCTGGAGGGGCCCAGCTCCCAGCGGTGTCTCCGCCGGGAAAGGCTGTGCAGGAGACTGTTGTGGACATTCTTCCCTGGCCCAAGGCATAGAATGAGGACGGAGAGCAGAAACGACAGGGAAAGATTTGGGCTCAGCGAAGGGGAGAACGTTCTAGCAGGTAGAATCACTGAGGATGAATGGGCTGTCTATATAGGGAGTTCCCTGCCCGTCTCCAGAAAAGAAGGGGCTGGCTGGCAACCTTGAAAGAGGACTTGGGAAGCTCACAGGAGGCTGACGTTGACTCAGAGATTCTTTCCGGTCACCACTGATCTCTGTGAGCCAGCAGCACAGAGGTGTGGCCTCAGGTGGTGTCACTTTCCTCAGGGGGTCTGGGGGCTGGCATTTGTGTCCTGCCAATCTGCCAACCTGCAGTCCTAACTGCTGGGTATCTGTCACAAAGACTGTCCTTACCCACAGGTGACGCTGGGGGACAGCCCCAGTGGAGACCTCTTCACCTGCCACATCTGCCACAAGGCCTTCACCTACCAGCGCATGCTGAATCGCCACATGAAGTGTCACAACGACGTCAAGAGGCACCTCTGCACCTACTGTGGGAAGGGTTTCAATGACACCTTCGACCTGAAGAGACACGTCCGCACCCACACTGGTGAGAGGAGCCCCGTGGTGGGCGCCTGCCTGAGGCCACGTGGGACACTCGGCAGGCCTGCTGCCTGGGGGAGGGGGACTGGGAGGGGCGCCGGAGCTCAGGGCAGAAGCCGTCCTCAGCTCAGCAGTTCGGGCCCTCGGGGAGCTGGAGAGGCACAGGCCTCCGTCCCTTCCTCTTCCCCAGAGTTAGGTGGCCGGGCCTTTCTGTGCCCGGGAAGCTGCTGTCAGGTCCCTGACGCCCAGCCCTGTCCTCCTCGCAGGCGTGAGGCCCTACAAATGCAGCCTGTGTGACAAGGCCTTCACGCAGCGCTGCTCCCTGGAGTCTCATCTCAAGAAGATCCATGGCGTGCAGCAGAAGTACGCGTACAAGGAGCGGCGGGCCAAGCTGTACGTGTGCGAGGAGTGCGGCTGCACGTCCGAGAGCCAGGAGGGCCACATCCTGCACCTGAAGGAGCACCATCCCGACAGCCCACTGCTGCGCAAGACCTCCAAGAAGGTGGCCGTGGCCCTGCAGAACACCGTCAACTCCCTGCTGCAGAGCAACCACCACCTCTGAGTGTGCCATCTGGCCCAGGAAGGGCCACCACCCTGCGGCCTGGCCAGTCCACCTCCTGCGGCCTCCTGCTGGAACACTGGTGATCGGGACTGAAGCCCCAGGATGTGTGCTCACCCGGCCCCGCACTGACCTCTGCTCATGTCGGCCTTTTTGTATTTTGGGCGGAGGCTGATCCAAGCTTGTATTATGGGCAGACAGGCAGACGTCTGGGGCAGGGGCCAGGCCAGGACTGCCTTTGAGGAAGCAGCACACCTGCAGAGCCAGGAACTCTTTCCCGGAGGAGGGTGGTCCTGTGACCCTTCTGCCTCTGGAGCACAGGGTGGGGCTGCTGGTCCCCTGTGGGTGGCAGGGCCAGGAGCACTGGCAAAAAGCACCCTGTGAGAGATGGCCGTGGGCTTGGCGATGACCTGCCTGGCAGTGCTTCTGACGCCCAGGGCTGCAGGGCTCTGCCCTCTGCGGGGCGCGTGTGCACACTGAAGATGTGCGTGCCTGCACACACGGGAGGCCTTTCCACATATCACCTCATTTTAAAAAATCAATGACAAGGTGCCAAGGAGGTTTTATTCCCTTTTTTTAAAAGATGACAAATGTATAGATATTAATATATTTTTGGTGCTGATGGCGACTATTTTTAAGAGAGGATGGAGCTGGCTTATCTCTCTCCCATGAGATTCTATTTATCCTGGACATTTCACGTGCTCCGTGCCGTGGTTCTGGGGTGGCTACCCTGACGCCCCAAGCTTCCTGCTACCTGTGTCTTTCCTCGGGCTTTGTCTGGTCCCCTGCCACCAGGACAGCACATCCCATCTGCTCTTCCCTCCCACAGCTCTGCCTCCCTCCCACTGCTTCCAGGCAGCCTGGGCCGACCAAGGGCCTTCTGATCAGATAACAGACTTGTGCGTAACAGCTCACGGTTTGGGAGGTTGAGGGCTTGTCTGGGTCTAGCTTCAGGGGTGAGCCAGGTGGGGAGAATCTTTAAGAGGCCCAGAGCTGAGGCCTGAAGCACAGAAGAGTCCAGGCCAGGCCACAAGGCCTGCTCTTTTCCTGGTTGAGTCAAAAACCTGAGAACAACAGCCAAAAATTGGGACAGAATTATAACCAGACACATCAGAAACCTGTAGCGGGAGGACAGTATTAGATGGCTAATAAGTTATATTTGTAGCCTTTTTTCTGTTTTTCAAGTAGCAAGGCTGGGTCTCGAGCCAGTGGCTCCAACTGAGGGACTCGCCAGGCTCCCTTAGCTTGGCAGGTTTCCTGCTAATAACAGGAACGGGGCGTGGGTCAGGGGAGAGCTGGGCAGGGGTTGAAGAAGAGCGAGAAGGCACACTTCAAAGTGGTCCACAGAACACAGCCGCCGGGCCACCCCTGAAGACGTGCCCAGGGAGAGCAGCATCGCACAGCCCGGCTGAGGGCAAGGAGCCTCTCGCTGCCCTCTGCATGGAGACTTGCTTTACTTGCCTGCAGAGCATGGGCGCTGCTGTGTTCTGGAAGTTCTATAGGACTAAATAACATCTGGAAGCTCTGTTTGTTTACATGTCTGTATCCCCATGTTCCTTGCCAATCTGAGGGAGTCACAAGGCTCTGTGTTGTCTATTTTATAACTTTCTCTCCAATTATTAAAATAAAAGAAACTTTTTTCTGTGTTTTTTTGTTTTGTTTTTTGTTGTTGTTTGTCTTATAGGCCTATTTCCACTTGCAGGAAATTAATCAAAACAATTGATGCATTCTATTAAAAGTTTTATCCTCTTACGGTTACCAGTGGGTTCAGACAAGGCCTGACCCAGACAGATTGGGTGGCCTGCCTCTGGTCTCGAAGTCAGTACCTGCAGACCCCAGACTGGCGGGGCCTCGCCCAGGGCTCTCTGCCTGCCTGATGCTCCCACATCCTGATACAAGGCTTTCCATTGGGCGGGTACAATCACTCGGGTCCAGTCTGGCGTCTGTTCCCAACAGCCTGCCAGGACCATAGGAGGAAGAGCCACATTCCCAAATAATAGGGCACACAGTTCATGTCACTTCCGGGTCAGACACCGCGATGTAGTCTGTGCCAGGCACACTCGTGTGTTGTACGCATCAGCTCACTGGACCTTCCAGCCGCCCTCTGAGGCAGGAGGCTGTCGCCACCCGGCAGAGAGAAGTCAGGTGGCTGGCCCAGTCTCCGACTAACCAGTAATGGAGCTGGACACAAACCAGACCGGCTCAGGTCTATGCCTGCAAGCACTGTGCACACTGCTATGTAGAGACCAGGAGACCTCGTGGCACCTCAAGGAAATGCAAAGTAACAGCAAATCTAGAGATGACCTGGTCCTCCCATCACCGACCCAGGATCGTCGGGGAGACCTTATTGCCCTGGTCTCCGAGTCCCAGGTCGGTATTCTCCCGTCACGCCCCGCCAGGTGGACGAGGAGGGGAGGGGAGCTGCCAGGCTGGGCCCCTGGCGTGATGCTCCGGGAGGCGCGGGAAGGGTCAGTGCTCTTGGTGCTGTGAGGAGGAAGGAAAACATTGATCTGACCTCCAAGGCTCCCTGTGAGAAGCCCCGAGGATTGGAAAGGGCCACTAACTCTCCTGTGTCTCTTTAAATAGCTAGGCACAGAGGATCGCTCTTATCTCAAGGGCCCCCATGGGAAAGACCAACCAAATCTCCTTTTCACAGGTCCCACGGGGAGCAGAGCCCATTGTTGGAGCCCAGATGATTAACCGCTATGTAAACTGGAGGAGGAGCTGAGGACAGACAGGCTTCCAGGAAGCCAGGGATGGGGTGTGGGGAGGGTCCTGGGGCCCCCTCTGAGCTCTATTCTCTCCCATTCCTCAGAGAAGCTCAAGGCTCGGACACCTTCCCTAGCAGGCTCGGGCCAGTCACTTTTTTTTCCCAGCCAGATCATTTGGGGGCTCATCATGATCTCCAGGCTTTGTAGGATGGATACCATGAGGGAAACAAGAGCGATACGGGTCCCTCACTGACGGAACTAGGCCCAGCCAGGAGAGGGAAGTGATCAGTGCAAGTCATTCTATAACTAAGGACAAATGGCATGGCTGCACTACAGATGCTCTGGAACCCCAAAGAGTCTTTGTATCTGAAACAATAAAGACTTCTTGGAAGAGTCTTTGTATCTGAAACAATAAAGACTTCTTGGAAGAGGTGGGATCCAGCTGGTCTGGGAAAATGGGAGGATCTGAACAGAACAAAAGAAAAGCGAAGGTGTTTTAGGGTCAGGGCCTGGCTGGTTTTGCCCAGTGGATAGAGTGTTGGCCTGTGGATTGACGGGTCCCGGGTTCGATTCTGGTCAAGGGCACATGCCCAGGTTGTGGGCTCAATCCCCAGTAGGAGGTGTGCAGGAGGCAGCTACTCAGTGATTCTCCTCATCATTGATGTTTCTATCTCTCTCTCCCTCTCCTTCTCTGAAATCAATAAAAATATATTTAAAATGAATGAATGAATGAATGAAAAACAACAGAATCCGCAACATCTATGAGGGACAATAAAGCAGGTCACAATAAAACGAGGTATGTCTGTATTTCCATTGACAATCTGGATGCTTGCACCATTCGGTCCGTCAGCCACAGCACGGGTGTTTTTTGAGCCCTGCCCCGGTGCCAATAAGAACTGGTAACAAAACAAGATTCTGAGAGACAGGAGAGCTGACTGGGACCTAGCAAGAGGGTCTTATGAGGATGAAGGTAGAGTTCTATTTTCACACCGAAAAACACGGCAACCAGTGCAAGGTGGGAAAACTTTACAACAGGAAGTGCTATAAAGGTTTCTACTTTATATTTTTCATGTATTTCCTAATTTTTTTCTACAATGGCATATATTATTTTTACAATGAGAAGAAAATAAAGTTATAAAACAATTTAGGGCAGCAGTTCTCAACCTGTGGGTCGCGACCCCTTTGGGGATCGAACAACCCTTTCACAGGGGTCGCCTAAGACCATCGGAAAACACATATATAATTACATATTGTTTTGTGATTAATCACTATGCTTTAATTATGTTCAATTTGTAACAATGAAATTGGGGGTCACCACAACATGAGGAACTGTATTAAAGGGTCGCGGCATTAGGAAGGTTGAGAACCACTGATTTAGGGTGTTAGTAGACTTGAAATTCAACACGTCAACAGGGAGATGGGGCTGCTCCCCGAAAAGCTAATGTGATCTTTGACAATAACAGAGATGTGGCAACCAAGACCACCTCCCCGCCCTGGGCTAGGCAGCAGTCAGTGGGTGGCAGGGGAAGAGCAGAGACCGGTTGAGGCCCAGCCCTGCCTCATGCTGTCTGTGTGGCCTTCGGCAAGTGACCAAACCTCTCAGTTTTCTCATCTATAAAATAAGGTGAGTTCCTACGTTCAAAAGTCCCTTTCTGCCCGGCTGGCATGGTTCAGTGGTTGAGCCTCGACCCATGAACCAGGAGATCACGGTTCCATTCCAGGTCAGGGCACATGCCTGGGTTGCAGGCTGGATTCCCAGTGTGGGGCATGCAGGAGGCAGCCAATCAATGGTTCTCTTTCATCACTGATGTTTCTATCTCTCTCTCCCTCTCCCTTCCTCTCTGAAACCAATGAAAAAGAAATATTTTTAAAGGCCCTTTCTGTTATAAAGACTTTGTTGCTAGGCCCCCATTTCCATAAAAGCCTCGAGGAAACTGACAAACTGCAATGGAGGTGAGGCGGCTCTAAGGCTGAGAAGCTGCTCAGAGTGGGAACATGGCTGCTGGCAGAGGGAAACGGCTTATCCGCTTATTCCGGCAGTTCCAGTGGGCAGACCCTGGGTCAGAAGTGGGGTTGTGGGAACAGACTCCCTCGCACAGCGTAACCACAGGGTGGCTGCTGGGGGCAGGAGCCCGGGCATGGTCACCGTAGGGTTGCTGGCCAGACTGGGGGCCATTTGTTAGGAACCTCCAGAGGGACTGGGTCACAGGGCTGAAGGCCAACGATGATCTCCAAGGCTCTTTCCACCAACAAGATTCTACAAGGACAGGCCAAAGCGCAGTGGTCAGGACTTCCAGGCCTAATCGCCATTCCCCGGGAAGCAGAGCCAGAGAACAGAATGAAATGGAGAGGAAGCCACCAGCTAGAGTGACACCAGTTGGGAGGCTGTTCCATCCTCCAGCTTGGGGTGATGAGGATGTGGACGCGCAGTGGGCAGGGGCTCCCCTCTCACTGCCACCGGCTCTGGCCCGTCTTCTGGGGCCTCCCAAGACCAGTCCACTCCCTCAGGTGATGGCAGCCACCTGACCCAGGATGTCCCCGACTCTTCATGTCCCAGACAACCCGCCCTCCTCCTTTCCTCACGCCAGCCCCCTCCCATGTTTCTAGAGTCTGTTTTGAAACTCTAGCTCCCAACCCCCAAGCCAATGCGCCCAGCTTAGAGTTCCTTCCTGTAAGCAACCAGCCACTCCTCTCAGTGCCCCTGAGATCGCCCTCCTTGCCTGGCAGCTCTCCTCCTGGGCAGCAGACTCGCTGACATGAGCGGGGGGCGGGGGGGGGTGTGGTGTGTGGCTCAGGCCCACAGCACTGCAGGGCCGCGCTGGAGGGGAGGCTGAGTCAGGTGTGGAGAGTCTGGTCCTGGGAAGGGGCGGTGCACGGAGCGAGCCGCCAGGTCTGCGTCCTGAATGTAAGAGCTGGGTATGGCGTGAGTGGTTCCCCTGTTCCTCACCTGCTCTCTCCACATGAAACGGTGGAGTACTACTTCTCCCTGACCGGCCTTCCAAGCAGAAAGAAACACAAATCAGGCGCCTAAAACTGCTCAGCGATGTGCGGGCTGAGCTGGTGGCACTGCACACCCGGCCTCAATGTCAAACGGGAGCCCCCACCTCCGACTCCAGACCTGAGGGGCAGCTAACCCGCCCCAACACCACCGAGAGGAGACCTGGCCGAGCTGCCCCAGGCGGAGCCACGAGTGCCACCGCTCAGCTGCTGTGTCCAAGCTGCTGGCCGCCCTGCCCACAAGCACCGCAGCAGAGGTCTCATTGCCCAGAGCAGAGGGGCCACGCACTGGGTAGGAGACCACACCAAGAGGCTCCCGGGGCGCTGAGATGCAGGGCCACGGGCCCTGCTAACCCCCGAGTGCTTGGGGCAAGCATTTGGCTTTCGGCACGTAGGTAAACAGTCCTAGAACAGCAGCTAATCACCCCTTCCGTTTATGGAGCTCCTATACTCGCTGCCAGCATCATCCTGGGCTTCTCTCTGACGTCATCGCGAACCCCCACAACCACCCTGGGAGGTAGTCATTACTGTTCCTATTTTTAGACAGAGAAGTTGAGGCTGGGGAGACGCAGTACCTGGCTCAAGGTCAGGGGATAGGGAGCCAGCCTCTGGCCTAGGGCTGCTGGACTCAACTGGGGCTCTTGACTTTCAAATTAGCAATGCCTGGAATGGGGGCCCCTTTCCTTTCGGTTCTTCATTTACTGACACTGAGCACCTGCTCTGTGCCAAGCGCTGTGCTGAGGCGGGGAACACAGCTGAACGAGGCCCGGCCCCGAGCTCCTGAGTTCACCTTCCTGGGGGAAACGGGCGTGGCCAGTCGGGAGAGTGAAGGGACAGGAGCAGCAGCGGGTGAGAACTGAGGACAGCAGGAAGGGGCCCACCCTTGAGTAGCCATCTCTGAAGCCCCCAAATGTCACCCATGTCAACAGAGCTGAGAAGAGGGAAAGGAGGGAGAAGCCCTGGCAGGGGGGCGCCCCACGCGTGCACCATCTGCCCGGCTCCTGCACCGTCCCCATCACTGTCTCTCCAGGCAGGAAAGAGGAGCCTAGGAGACCAACCACCTGCCAAAGCCCCCACGGCCACCCGGCAGCAGATGCCCGGACTGGCTCTCTGTAGCCATCACACTGTCTTCCCAAGAAATACAAGAGGAGAGAGTTCTGGAAGGACCTAAGCCCAACTGCAGGGGAAAAGCCATTGGGGGGGGGGGAGCAAGGGCCCAAGAGCTGGGGGTCTAGCTTCTACCCCAGAAATGCCAGGTGTGCTGTTCCCGCGAATGTCGCAGCCACCGCTGTCTTAAATATTCCTGTTAAACCGGAGGAAGGGCGAGAGGGACCAGGAGTGGGTCAGGACGTTCCAAACCCCTAGGAGCTCCGGCAGGAACTCCCAGCATCCGCCTCCGCGTGTACCTGACCTCCTCCCCACAGTCCCAGTTTTCCAAGGTAGTGATCTCGCTAAGAAACTCATCCTGTCCTCACCACCTAGGCCCATCCAGTCCAGCCGGCTCCAGCCGGCCCCTCTCCGCCTCCCCCGCCTCTGAGGGGGACTCCAGGTAACAGGCCCAGGCGCCTCCCTCTCCCCACACGCAGCGCAGCGGGCGAGCTGCTGAAGGAACCCAGGAGAACTGGTAGAACTTGTGTCCCCTTTGCCAGAGGCACACACGAACCTGCCAGCGGTAATAACAGGGCAAAGGAGCGGACCCGCCTGGGAAGAGGAGGGCAGGCTGGCTGCCACCGCCATGCCAGAGCCCCGGCCATTAGGGCCTTGCTTGGAAGAGGGGCCCTTGGAGAGTGGGGTTCTCTACATTCCTGCCATGACAGACCTGACAGGCTTTCCCCACCCCAACAAGATGAGTCTCCTCTAATGCTAATACCCACCCCCGTCTCTCCCACGATCTCCCAGGAGTTCTAGACACTCATGTCTCAGCCGTGAGCAGGAACCTCTAGGGCCACCAGCATCCCCCGCCCCAGCCCTGGCAGCCTCGGGTGTAAGGGGAGGAGAGGAGGTCCTGGAGGTCAGGACAGAAGGGATGGGAGCTTCCCTTAGGAGGCCCAAGTGCTCTGAGGGTGAGCCCTGAGGCAGAGCCCTCTCCTGAGTCTGCTTTGTTTGGGGGGAATTTGTTAAAGTGCAAGAAGAGGGAAAAGAGCAAAGCATTCGTGGTCTCGGTGGGAGAGTCGGGGAGAATCAATATGTATCCAAATTCAACGTGGTGCATTAAAATGTGATGTCCAAATGAGTTTTTGGCAGGTAAATTTTTAGCCTTAATATAAAGAGTTCTTACATATCAATAAGAATAAAATATACCATTAAAAACTGACAAATAGCCCTAGCTGGTTTGGCTCAGTGGATAGAGCGTCAGCCTGAAGGGTCCTGGGTTCGATTCTGGTCAAGGGCACATGCCCGGGTTGTGGGCTCAATCCCCAGTAGGGGGTGTGCAGGGGGCAACTGATCAATGATTCTCTCTCATCATTGATGTTTCTCTCTCTCCCTCTCCCTTCCTCTCTGAAATCAATAAAAATATATTTTTTTTAAAAAACCACCCTGACAAATAGTGTGGAGAACCTATTCATAAAAGAAATTCAACATGATCAAAATCATATGAAAAAAATTCAACTTCATTCTATATCTTAAAATAAGATATAGAAATCTATCATAAAACATTATAATAATGAAAAAATAGGAAAAATCAAAATGTTTAACTCTAGAATACCAGTAAAATAAGGAAATATTATGTAGCCATTAAATATGTTGTAATAAAAATATTTACTAACAGGAAAATGTTTACAATACATTAAGTTCAAAAGCAGGTCCCAAACATTGTTATGGGTAGGCACATTTTCCATGTTTGTAAACACAAGCCCATGTGTACATCATAAAAGTTAAAGAAGACTAAATTCCACAATGCTCAGAATACTAAGTTATTACTCAATGGCAGAATTATGATTTTTATTTTCATCTGTTTTTTTGTCTATATTTTGTACTTTTTTCCCACAATAACCCCCCCCCCCCCCATTGCTTTTGTAATGAAAAGAAACCTTGGTGACTTTGAAAGAGTCCTTGGCAGAATAAATGTGAGAATCTGTGTATTATGTGTACAGTCTTCACCGAGAAATGGAGTCTTCTCCCTCTTTAAAAAACATATATTTTTATTGATTTCAGAGAGGAAGCGAGAGGGAGAGATGGAAACATCAATGATGAGAGAGAATCATTGATCAGCTGCCTCCTGTACACCCCACACTGGGGATCAAGCCCGCCACCCAGGCATGTGCCCTGACTGGGACTCGAACTGTGACCTCCTGGTTCATAGGTCGACCCTCAACTACTGAGCCACACCGGCCAGGCAATTCTTCTCCCCCTTAATCTTACAAGTCGGGGTGAGATGGGAATAGGTGGGAGGAAGGCTGAGGTCTAAGGCCACTTGGGGTGCAGAGATGGGATAAGGAAGGAGACCCAGGAATCCCAATTCTGATGATACTCTGAAATCGACAGGGGGCCCATGACCTTGCATAGAAGGCACAGAGGACTGGGAGTCAGAGGATGTGAGTGAATCCTAGGTCTACCGGTTGACACTGAGGAAGATGCTTTATTTCTCTGAAACTCAATGTCTATAAAGGGAAATACAGTAATGCAGAATTACTGTGGGAATTAAATATGACAGTTGTTTGCTTCGTGCGGTATAAAGCCCCAAACAAACATTAGATGTTGTAGTTAATAACATTCATCTCTGATTCAACCTTAGCAAGAAAGGTGGCCAGCGGCTGTGGCCAAGTTTGCATTGGCTGAGAGATTTCTGGATGTGCTGGAGGGAGGGACACATTTTCCCCTGTGTTCAGGCAAGGTCTTGGATTTCCTGGTCCATAGTATAGAAAATAAAAACAAAATACACCTACTGTGAGTTCAGAGGAAGGTGTTTGGGGGCCTTCTGACTACTCTTTGAGGAAACAATATTTAGCCTATAATGAGAAACCCCTGGCTAGTCATGTGCTGAGCTCTGGGAAGGAGAAAATGGTACAAAAGGCAGAGGTCTGTGGCCCCCTTCACCTATACTTGTTTACTGATGTTTTGGCAAAATGTTTTGGGGCTGGGTTGGGTGGACCAAGGATGCCAGAGCTTGCCATCTGAGGAGATGGGGAGAGGCTGGGTGGTGGTTCTGGTTCGATGGGTCCCCACTCTGCACGAGACGGGGGAAGTCATGGCTTCTGGGCGGAGGTGGCAGGCACGCTCGTGAATATGAGCCCCTCTTGTTCATAACTGGTTGGCTGCTTCTTACAGCGCCACTCGCCGTTTTCACGCAGGATGGCCCCCAACGTCCCCAAAGAGCACTACTGTCTTCATGCCACTACATGAGAAGGATTTATTGACGAGGTGACAAGCTTTCTAAGTATTGGTCATGTTGGAGACTCATTCTTGACTGCACCACTCCAAGGCCACCCGCCTCAGATGAGAAGCATAATCTTCACTCTTCTTTTCCTCCTCCACCTTTCCTGCCCTTTACTCCCTTTTCTTCCTCCCCTTGTTCCTCAGTCTCCCTCTCCTTCTCCTCGTGTCCCCTCGCTGGTTCCAGATCCAGCCAGCATCCCCCTCTGTGCTCCTCATGTCACAGGCACCCACCACGGGGAGCCAGCCGATGCAGGTGTCCTGAGCTAGAGCACAGTGGCCTGTGTGATGAGGGTGCAGGCGGAACAGCTCTGGTCAGCAGTGCCGGGCTGTCCCTTCGCGCCCGGCCACCAAGGCTTTGGCTTTCAGAGCTTTATTCCTCGTTTCCTCACCAGTCCCTTCCTCAATTATCCAACACGTCTTTTAAAATCTTTTTGTAACTAAGTTTTTCTCCTAATACTCCTGCCAACCCTGCTCCTTTGCCCAGGCCCCTCCCTCTCTGCAGAGCCTCTGATGGAGCTGCTAGCTGGTGCTGACATGCCCTAGCTGGGCGCTCCGCTCCGCTCCGCTCTGGGTGTGGTTTCGCCTGGTGGACAGGCAGCGGGCCTCCTGTCCTGTGGGCAGTGGGGAGGGGAGCAGTGCTCAGCTCAGCTGCTTCCTCCCATTCCAGGCCTCCCAGGCTCATCATCTATCCCCGCTACCCACCAAGTGCCAGATGGAAGCCTTTTCTGTCTCCTTCGTTCCTTAGAACTCACCCAACTATGTTTTTTCTAATCTGAATCTCATTTCGAAATCTCCTGCCCAAGGGGTTTCCCAACGCCTCTCAGCTTTGAATCAACCTGCTGTTTACAGCACACCCAGATCAGGGGGACCGGTTCTGACACTACGCCCTGAAGACACTCCTGTGCCCGAGATAGTCAGTGACACCTGGACAAACATTCCTTCCTTATCTCCCATGAAGGAAGAAGCCAAGCAGGCTCCAAGCTGAGAACAGGAACTGGCCGGAAGGCAGATACCAACTTGGCCGTATTCTTCCCCTGGGGAGACGGTTGGGGGCCTGCTGTAAATGTAGGTCCAGCCTGCAGGAGGGTGACCCTCTCCAAGCAGCCCACGAATTCTCTGCCCCCGAAAGTGCCCAGTCCCTCTCAGGGGGCGATTCCACAGGAACGGGAATCTTAGTCCCCGCCCAGGGCTTAATGGGGTGGATTTCTGGCCAGAGGGACCTAGAGCCAGGAGCAGCCTCTAGAACAAACACAGAGAAGTGGGTCAGTGTTTTTTTGAACAAAGGAAAAGGGGTTGTTCTCTGCATACAAAGGTGACCCACTCACTACCTGCCTTGGTAACCTGAGAGCTCTCCCCAGCAAGGAGGGTCGCCCTGCTTGGGTCTGGCTCCTCCTCCGGGGGAAGCTGAAGGACCAGCATGGGGGAGAAATAGCAACCTGGGTCTCTGCATCATGTTCTGGACAAGAAGACATTTCACCTTGATTTTTTAAAAATCGACTCAAAGCCCAGTTCTGCATCTGAGTCCCAGAGAGCCAATCCCTTCATGCAAATGAACAGAGCAGATCATGGATGCCAAGCGGCCTCGGAGGCTCGTCACTCCCTCATTGAGGTGAATGCTCTGGGCCGAGACAAAGCCTTTCTCTCCGCTCCTCTCCTCTAATTTGAGAGAAAACACCCGATGCCACGGCAAACTCCTGTTTTTGGCACTTGGTGTCACTCTTGCTTCACCCTGACTCAGCTCAAAGCCTTCAGACTAGTGGCCATCATCACAGAGGAGACAACTCTATCCTCAATCCCACCCTCACTGTACACACACACACACACACACACACACACACACACACACACGCCAGGGCCTAGCCCAGCTCTCCCGGAGGAAGGGGAAGTGTCCGGGTAGAAGGATGACAGGAGTGCCACACATGGAATGGCAGGAGGAAGGGCCTCATCTTCCCTGAGCAAGGCCTGGGTGGAGCCTGGGCTCCTGGAATTGTTGGTGGTTGACTTCACCACCATTTTCTTAAAAGTCAGAATTGCTCACAAGGCAATCTCATAGGACAAACACGCACACCCAAACACTAAGAGTCACCTGACATCAAACTGACCAGTTCTGGTGATGGAAACATAGAAACTATCCATGCATAGCTGCAAGGTTTGCTGTGAGTCTCCTTTTCAACACTTGCTTACCAAGCCTTTGTCAATCTCCAGTGCAGAAGAGCACATTTTTTCTACTAAGAACACCTTGGGCAACCATATGAATGTTACAGTCCCTTGTAGTTAGTCTAATAATTAGCATCACTAAGCTCCTCCTCCTGTCATGCTCCTCGGCCACTGCCCACCTTCCCAATCCCTCCCTTTCCTCACTCAACAAGGATTTAATGGGCTCCCACCAGGCTCTGGGCTCACTCCGGAGTCTCCTTCTGCAAACCCCTCCCTCTACATTGCCTCTAGATCAGTGGTTCTCAACCTTCCTAATGCCGCGATCCTTGAATACAGTTCCTCATGTTGTGGTGACCCCCAATTTCATTGTTACAAATTGAACATAATTAAAGTATAGTGATTAATCACAAAAACAATATGTAATTATATATGTGTTTTCCGATGGTCTTAGGCGACCCCTGTGAAAGGGTCGTTCGACCCCCAAAGGGGTCGCGACCCACAGGTTGAGAACCTCTGCTCTAGAACATGTCTCTGTCCTTGAGGTTCTCCTGTGGGTGACTAATCCTTATGGACACAGTGGTTCCTCCTCTGGGCACAGAGACCTAACATCCTTCCACCCAAAATCCAACTCCTTTCCCACCCACAAGGCCTGGTGCGTCAGGGTGAAGTCTGACAGCCCCCAATAGCACAGGCTTAGTGAAGAGCCATTAGCCAGGAAGAGCTGTGTGCAAAAGGCCGCCTGCCCAAGCCACAGCTGTCCTTCAACAGCTGCTGCCCACTGCACCAGCCTACTTAGCACAACAATATCTAGGTTACGGGCTCCTGGTCACCTGATGCTCCCTGATCCCTGGCATGGAACTGGCTGTCCCGAGCAAGAGGTCTCCGGGAAGGTGGAGCTTCCATCTGCCCTCCGGTCAGAATTCTGACGCCTGACACACCAGGGAGCAGAGGTCACCGCTTCCCTGCAGCCTCATCTTTGAAAACATCTTGTAAACATGCATCAGAGGAAGAAATCTTCATTCTACCTCTTATTAGTTCCTGGACCTGCATAGTTTCAGCCCGACAAGTCACGCTGGAGATGACAGAGGGCTTGCGTGAGGAGACTCAAGTGGCTGAACTACCGCTTATCCTACTTCTGGAGATAAGAGTGTGGATGCCAAGGTCAGGAACAACATCATCTCTGTCCTCTTGGGCCGCCTCCCCACGGTAGATGATGGAAGCCCTGGCCTGGGGCTTTGTGAACTGCCCCAGGGGAATGGCCAGTCAGGTTGCATTCTTCCTGAAGTCATTCAAAGCACTGTACACCATAAAAAAGGGCTTCTGTCATGAGGGGCACAGGTAGAGCAGCTTGATTGCTCTACATGTGGAATCGACATCGAGAGATTTCAGAAGCATGATTTTTTGGAACTTGGGCAGCTGGTGATCATTGGTCCTGGCGCCCGAAAAACAACAACAACAACAACAAAGTACTGTATGACCATGATCTTGATCTTACCAACATCTAAGGAAGGGAAGAAAGGAATGGGCAGAAGTCTTCTGGTTTTAATTTAAAAAAAAAACAAAAACAAAAAAACAATGGGGAGGAGGAGCCTTTAGGTGAACTAGCCAGAAAGTCAATAAAGAAGCATAAACCCACCCTAGCTGGTTTGGCTCAGTGGATAGAGCATCGGCCTACGGACTGAAGGGTCCCAGGTTTGATTCCAGACCAGGGCACGTGCCTGGGTTGTGGGCTCAATCCCCAGTAGGGGATGTGCAGGAGGCAGCCGATCCATGATTCTCTCTCATCACTGATGTTTCGCTCTCTCTCCCTCTCCCTTCCTCTCTGAAATCAATACAAATATATTTAAAAAAAGAAAAAAAAAAAGAGCACATACCTTGGTTGTAGGCTTGATCCCCCGCCCTGGTTGGGCATGGGTGGAAGGCAACCAATCAATGTTTCTCTCTCTCTCTCTGTGTCTCTCCCCCTCCCTTCCACTCTCTCTAAAAATCAATGGAAAATCCTTGGGTGAGGATTAACAATAACAAAAGAAGCACAGACTCAAAAACCCTGACCCAGGCCCCATGGCCATAGCAAATCAGACAGATGGGTGATTTTGTATGTGTGTGTTCAGACTGAATTCAAGGCTGAATCTGACCCCTCTTGAAAGGATACCAAGATGCAAATCCCCCTGCCCTGACTTACCCAAACTTTGTAAATAACAGAGACACTCACTAGAGAAATTAGAAGACAAAATAGCTAAGTGGTTTGAGAAGGCGTGGCTAGAAGCATGTTTTCCCTAAAGCCATACGTGTAGACAGTCAAAAATACGAGTTTAATGAGCTTATAAATTTGGAGTGACTCTTCACATCTCACAGAGTCTGGGATTCAACTATTTCACTTCTGAAATCAAAGAGGCTGCCACTGGACCCTCATCCCTGAACACTTCTTCCAGAGGCCGCTCCATGCAATTCTTCCTCAGTTTACCCTTCTGCCCAGGTAACTGACCCAAACAATTCAGCCCCCAGTGTTTTATAGAGGGAGATTACAACTTCTGGTATTCAAAGATGTCTTCTGATGTTTGATCTCTTTCCTTTCCTCCTTAGTTGCTCCCTGAAATACCGCTTACTCCCTTTAGGAACCTGCATGCTTCTTCTAAGAGATGGATGGGTACCTGTCCCGGTTAATTCCTACAAATTCACAAGGTTCTCTCGTGCTCAAGTTCAAAGCACTCTAATCTCAGTAATCACTGTTTGCTGTAGTGCTGTTCTAGCCTTTTCTATTACAGTATTTCTCAACATTAACTTAATTGAACTTAAAAGATATTGTACATTTAGCATAATTTGGCAAACTAATAATGTAAACAGTGTCTTGCTGACAGGATAAGTCCAACGCAGGAAGCCACGCAGTCAGCAGTGTTGTCTCACAGATGACAACAAATCCCAAACAGCCGCAGGGGCTGCTGTGAGGCACACATGGGTGACATCATTCATGTAGGGCTGGGCCACTCTGGCTGGATCTGAAGGCGCTCGCTCTCCCTTTCCAGTCTGTTTGTCCTTTAGAACTAATATTTGGGGTGTCACCCCAATATTTTATTCTCTTTCTGATCCAGGCCAGCCTGGAGACCAAGACAGAGCAAGCCTGCAGTTGAACACTTTGTCGCCACTTTTCCAGAGCCCTACGCTAGCCTTGCTCACGTTCAGGGCTATGCGTGACCTTGCTGTCCCACACCATGGTCTATCTATTAATTAAACAGACAGACAACCTTCTAACCAGGGCAACTACATATACTCTGATGTAAGCCCTTGGTTCCATTCCTTTCTCTCCAAGAAGGGACTATTTTGAGGGAATTTCTCACTGACAATAACATAGCAGTGTTCTCCTCAAACCCCAAAACACTCACTGAGTCTTTCATCTGCAGCCACCCCCGGATAGCCCACGCCTCTGGCATCTGCCCCAAATAGCCTGAGCCTCCCATGTGAGCTTGACTCTCCGATTTGTCATTCTCATGGGTTGTCCTGGGCTTCTGATGACACAACCAGGACAAAAGATAAATCCTAATCCTGTGTATGCTGGTTGACGGCGAAAACTTTAAGATAAAGGGATCTTGGGGAAACCATTACAACATCTAAAGAATTCCTGGTGCAAAAGTTCCCAGTGCCACTGTCCCACCCCCAAACCAGTTGGAGACACAGACCCGCCCTTCTCCAGGCTGCTTTAGATAGGCATCAACAGTCTGTGCTCCCTCCCTCCCAACTGAATCCGTGCCCAACTGGTTATGTCCCAGGGATCCTCAGAGACACCACCAAGTACAAGTCCTTCCTAGGAGGTGACAGTGCCCTTCAGAAAGCCTGGCATCACCCTGAGAGTGTCTCCCCAATGCTGCTGCCTTTGGCAGGTACAGAGGGAGGGTGCAGGGAGCAGGGGCGTCCCTGGATGGAGCAGCCCAGGTCTGAAAGAGGAACAGTGCCCCGAGGGCAAGGAAAGGCCTGAGAAACGAAGGCGCTGCCTGCCACGTTGCTGCACAGGTCTGAGCTGGAAGACGGAGCAAGAAACTAAATGATGAAACAGAAACACATTCTCAGTGGTGATCAAACTCCCAGAT